CGGATCAAGAATATTGAGATACTTTTCGAATATTTTACCACGGTACCTATTTGGAATTGTGTAATGTGTCAAGCTACGTAATATCTTAATGAATTAAGCTAGTTCAGGTGGTTTAATAATACTTAGGTACATACCTACATACCTACATACCTACCTACCACCTCTTCCTTGGCCTAGCTAGATGGACCGACGATATTACCAATAGTCGCGAGGAGCCAGTGGATGCAGTGGCAAACTGTCGTTCGACGTGGAGGACTAAGGAGGAGGACTCGGTGCAGTAGTGGATGTTTTTTTTTAATGAAAACGTTGCCCCGCATTATCATTTTCTCCTGTGTCGTAGGTACGTTCAAAAACACACTAGTTCACATACACATAGGTAACACCCAGACCCGAAACAACAATTTGTGGATCACACAAAGAGTTGTTCCGTGCGGAAATCGATCCCACTACATGTTGCGCTGTAATAGTAGGTACTTACCTACTCATTCCTAGATAATAAATACGTGCTATCAATCAAGTGCTTATATAAACCGTTTGATAAAGTAACGATTGTGTCGATTTAAATAACTATAGGTAAGGTAGGAGCTACCTATTTATAAAGATAAGAGAGAACAGCTGATCTAGGGAAATTGTTATGAAAGTAACACTTCAAACTATTGCCGCAGAGAACTTAACGAGTTACCGGGGCTCCGGCTCGTAGTGCAGGAGTAAGGACGGGGTGGTTAGTCAGTAAGATACTGACACTCCCTCCCGCCTCACCCAGGCGGAAGAAGTCATTCGATGATTTGTCCCCTTAAAAAAAATACTTCATAATCTAACGGAATTCTAGATTCAAGGCTATTGGTAAAAATTCAAAAAGGGCCACTACTTTTCTAATACTTTCACCGACCAAGGAATAGAACACGAGGCCGCCTGTTCGGTATTGGCAATTGCAGTTACGACCACTTGAAGAACGAGATAGACAATTCGATTACTGGGTGAAATAAACTACTTATTACAGCTACCTACATATCTGTGCGTGATGCTCAGAAGAGAAACAACAATACGGATTTCTTTACATCTTTATTATAATTTTTCTAACAACCATTTGGTAAGATTGTAAGACATTTCATGAAACACTTAGGGCCAATTTTACCAACGCCAAATAAATTTTAACTAAGGAATAACTTTGAATACCTATTTGACAACTTCGATACTAAAAATTGTCGAATGTCAATTTTATTCTAGAGTTAAGAATTAACTGAATGACAAATCGGCCCTTAGAATAATAAACACCTAATACAGTTTTCTACCCAAGCGTGCGGCGCGTCGCGTAGTAACTATAGTAATATGTGGTCGGGTTCCGCGCACTGCAAAGAGCTATCAGTCCACCACAGATGAGGCCCAATAAGGCCGATAAGGTTAAGTTCTCCACGGCTCCGTATCGGCATTTTTTTTAAGGGGGGAAAATCATCGAATGACTGTTCAAACTACGGAGCCGGAGCCCCGATAACGGTTAAGTTCTCCACGGCTCCGTATGCCGATACGGAGTCGCGGAGAACCTAACGGGTAACCGGGGCTCCGACTCGACGTGCAGGAGAAGGAACGGGGTGGTTTTAGTCAGTAAGAGTCTGACACTCCCTCCCGCCTCACCCAGGCGGGAGAAGCTATTCGATGATTTTCCCCCCTTAAAGTTTTCTCGGTATATAGTTGGTTAATAGAGTTACCCATAGTTTGACCGGTATCGCTGTACATAACTACATACCGCACCCTGAGTACCCGCAAGGAGGTGAAAGCCGGGTAGAAGAATGTATGAAGTCACAATAAGGTTTTCACAATTGAGCCGTACTTGCCAACTAGTCAAATTCAATACTTTTTTCGAACTGTCTAAAACGACAATTTTCTATGAATTTTGTACGGGATTGTCAAAAAAAGGAGGAGGTTCTCAATTCGACCCGTATGTTTTTTTTTTTTTTTTTTTTTTTCTATATTTGTTACGCGATTACTCCGCCAATTATGAACCGATTTGAAAAATTCTTTTTTCGGCGTATAGGTAATACCTCAAGGTTGGTCCCATTTAAATTTACTAATAAAAATAACAACCCCCAAGGGTGGAAAATAGGGGATGAATTTATTTATACGCAATAACTCCGCCGATTTTAAACCAATTTGAACGATTATTTTTTTATTGAATAGGTATTATCAAAAGGGTGGTTTCATGCGAATTTGAAGAAAATATTTCACCCCCAAGGGTGGAAAATTGGGGGATGAACTTTTTTATACGCAATATCTCCGCAGATTATGAACCAATTTGAACTATTATTTTTTTGTTGAATAGGTATTATCAAAAGGATGGTTTCATGCGAATTTGAAGAAAATATTTCAACCCCCAAGGGTGGAAAATTGGGGATGAAATTTTTTATACGCAATATCTCCGCCAATTATGAACCAATTTGAACGATTATTTTTTTGTTGAATAGGTATTATCAAAAGGGTGGTTTCATGCGAATTTGAAGAAAATATTTCAACCGTCAAGGGTGGAATTTGAACGATTATTTTTTATATTTCACCCCCAAGAATAGAACGTTAGTTGTTACGAGATATCTCATTAAGGCTGCGCGTTTAGTAGGCCTACCCATATTAAATGCACTAAGGGTATCTACAAAAAAGTAACACTAAAAATTTTAAAATAAAATAATTAACTTTTTAAAAAAAATAAAACCGACTTCAAATGCGAGAACACAAAAAAAAACTAAAAATTAAAAAATAATTCCTAATACCTATTACCTAATACTATAATTTTTCTAAACTATATCAAAGTAATTAAAGTTAAACCATCTAAATATCTTAAAATAGTTATACTTATATACCTACCTATTGTTTTTTGGAGTCGGTGCCAGTGCCAGCGTATTAAGTTTACCCGCGAACTAGAGACGTGCGACGCGGTGGCGGGGGACGCATGGCGCGAGGCGGGGCCGCGCGGTGCGGCGGGGGACGCGGGCGCGTGCGGTCTTGCTCGAGTAAGCGACCCGAAGGCGGGCAGACGCTTGAGGGCAGACTACGTTGACGCTCGTGTCAAAAATACTGAATTTTCGGATGCGCAATATTTCAAATTATTGCTTTCTTTTTTGTTTGTTGTATTCTATTGTAGGATTTGTAGGTATTTGTTATTCTTTGTTGGTATAGGTTTAGTTGTACCAGGCTACATACAACTTATTTCTTAATATTTTTGTTTCATTGAGTACTTTTTCTTATTTCATTAGGTTTAATATTCATTTATTACTGGCACCGACTCCAAAAAACAATAGGTAGGTATATAAGTATAACTATTTTAAGATATTTAGATGGTTTAACTTTAATTACTTTGATATAGTTTAGAAAAATTATAGTATTAGGTAATAGGTATTAGGAATTATTTTTTAATTTTTAGTTTTTGTTTGTGTTCTCGCATTTGAAGTCGGTTTTATTTTTTTTAAAAAGTTATTGATTAAGGAAAGTATCCAATTCAGACTGGTTTGAGAAAGTACCTACAAACGTCGATGCTCTTTTGTTTTTATGGTAAAATGAGGCAAACGAGTAGACAGAACAACTGGTGGTCGAATCACCGCTCAATGAACACCCTCAATAGCACAGGAGTTACAAGCACGGTGCTGACCTTTTGGAGATGGGATCCAGGAACCAATCAAGACACGGAACAGAAATATTGGTCAAACTACCTTTATCCTATGTTATAATTCATTCTTAGAAGGCGATTGACAAGAACCCACGTATAATTAGGAAATCTAGTAACAATTTATTGCTTATATCTACATCACAACATAATTTAGAATTGATCTAATAATAACAACAAATTCAAAATTGGAACTACCTAGATAGTCTTTTCAAATTCAGTATGAACACATAAAAACAGCTAAGTCTCATTAAAATAGAATTTATACACAATCCAGGATGGAATAGTTTCTTCACAATTGTTACATTAATTTATCATTTAAAATAAAATAAACATACTTAACTTGGAAATTGGTTCAATTAGAATTGATACCTTCTAAAGACTTATACTACCATACTTCAGGACGAATTATCTACATGTAAAGCAGACTCGGTCACTATCAAAAAAGTAAAAAAATCTACAAAACAGTTTGTTCCAGAACACAAAAACATTCCATCTATCTAGCCGTCACTAAATTTACTACCTAGCTATGACTCATCCTTTGCTTATAATAATAATAATTTAATACGTAAATTACATAACTGTATAACAATTTGCGATTATTTTACTACCCAATTATACTACCTAGGACTTACTGAACCACTAAATCCTCGAATTAAATACTTATTTATAAAATTGTGACTAAAAATATTGAACTAAAAAGTTGCTAAGGTTCGTTTACTTTTGTGATTATTATTATTTTTTTTCATGGGGCAAGCCCACCACAACCTCCCTAAACCGCTGCAACTCCTGCAAGCCAGGATCTACAGTAGATACAACCATGAAAACACCGGAACACTGAAGTTCAGCGCGTCCCGGGGACATGAGTAACTGTCTTGGTTCCCGCAACCAAGTGAATCGGAAGATATTATAAGAGAAGAAAAAATACGATTGTTTCCACTTCCCTCGGTGAATTACTGCAGGAGACAGAATGAATTAAGCCTACAGGTACAAAAAAGAGACTGTACAACTGGGTGAAGCCCAGTCGCCAACCTCAGGGAAACTTGACTAAAAACTGTGGGATGTTATACTTGCTTCCAATAATAGGTAAGGCAAAAGCGCCTAAACTCACGGAAATTTATTCTAGGTTCCACAAGGTCCGGATAATAAGCTACACCTGACGAAACAATTAAATTATTTAACATAGTGTTACGTCCATATTGCCAGAGATCACACTCCCAGAGTATGTGATGGGCAGACTGCTCGTATTGCAACTCTACTGTCGAACATTGGCACCATGGTGAATCAATAAGTTTAAATGAAGCAAGTTGTTCATTTGCTTTTAAAGTTGCCGTGGCCAGTATGAAATTGGGCAACACAGTGATCCACCTCCAACCATGTCCTCTCCAGCCACTCATGCACATGCACGGATGGGAAGAACTGATATAGGTGGCGGCCTTACTTTTGTGATATGAATAGTGTTAAAATACACAAAAATGTATGTAAATTCTCTTTCATATTTTGTCTATTTATCACCAGGGTTAGAGGAAACCTGGCCTGGCAGTGAGAAAGATTAAAATCGTGAAATCAAGCTTAGCGTTTCGTAATTAGGTTGAAAATGTATTAATGCAGGAACTGATTCGGCCTATAGTAAAGTTTCGCTTATAAAAAATTGTGCTATTTGTTTCATTCTTTGTCTCCGGAAGCCATAGAACTCTCCTTTTGAGCATCCATCAGGAATGTTTGTATCTCTGAGTAGATCTTCTGAAGCATTACTAGTCTTGGTTTTGTGTACTGAAAATAATAAAAGCGAAATTAAAATTACAATAATATTATTTAATGAGTAATATTATTAATTTTATTTTATTTAATCATACAAAAAAAAAGTTGGATTTAATATCTAAAATCTTTTTGTATTTTCTACGACCGTAAATTACTGTAAGTATTGCGTTTGTAGAGGTAGCTTATTTCTTTAATATAAAATACCTGAACGAAATATGTTTTTTCCTCCTACTCATTCGTTTTAATGTTTTTGCAAATTAGATTGTAATACATCTCACATTTATTATGTAAAACTTTTTGTTCTTCAGTGGGGTATACACCTGAATATTTGTAATACTCACAGGTATTTTACGCCTAACACAGACCCCAGCTCCACGTATTGCCATAAAAATTAGATTATAAATAAATTGTAAAACTAGAATAAGTGTCATTGTTAGGAGAAATAAAGATACAGCTCAATTATGAATTAAGTAAATAAGTAGAAACTATTCATAACATTCTTTTTTTTTTTGGAATAGGAGGCAAACAAGCAGACGGATCACCCTATGGCAAGCAATTATATAATACATTCACCTTAAATAGAGGTACCAGCCGCACTGAATCAGGATTATCTTCCTTTTTCAATAATGTTAGGTAATACAAAACTCGATTCTGAAATAAAACAAAATAAATAGAAGTAACTATTGTCTGAATACTGAAACGCCATTCAGTATCAAGTCACGCTAAGTATAGTTTTGTCGCTACAACTTGTTTGTAAAATGACTGGAGATGGCACAATATTTATGTACAACAGGTAGCCTTTCAGTATTCAGGCGGATATGTATTAATTTTGTAAGAAAAAGTTACATAATATATAATAGGCTATTAGACTATACACTATATACTCAGTGTGTAAAGTGAATGACTTTGTGTGAACTCGAATGTCTTGTGTAACTGGAATGTTTTTTTTTATTGTGACATGATAATTAGTTTTGCATCATCAGCCGTCTTACCTTTCATGTAAGTGTGTACAGTACAAACATAGAATAGAATCTTTATCATATTGTAGACATAATGCCTCACATGTTAGAATGTATGTAATAGTATATTCATACTTTTAGTTAGCTACAAACATATCATTAACCCTTTGAATGCACCGATATGAGAAACAATAGAAAAAAGACAGTGTCTCACATGAATCCTTTTTTAAGACACATGAAAGGTTAAGTACTCAGCAGAAATGCTTACCATTTTAATAACTTCATTGATGATAACATCGTCAACATTGGACCAGTCCACGAAGGTGTCCTCTCGACCCCACACATACTTTACTGTGCTCTGAATACATACTGTCGGTATTACTATAAGACTTTCTGAAAATTACAAGCAATGTTTTGATTAACGTAATAATTCTTGATGATGATGATGATGACGATGAATCTAGGTATGGAACGCCAGGGACAGGTCTTATCGCTTCTAACATTTAAAACATTCTGTAATGAGTACAAGATCTAGTTTAGTACCACAGATCAGGTTGTTCTTTTTATTCTGCTTTTAATATCTGAATTCTTTGTGACTGCTACTTTGGAAGACACAATAAAAATACACTGTCTCGTTTAGATCAGTGTTCCTGGCAGACCAGGGGTTTAAAACATGAGGTTAGAATTGGAGCTCCATACAGACTCCGGAGCAATCAGTTGAAAGTAATTAGGTAGGAATAGCCGATACTAACCTGACTGAACACTGTGAGTGAACCAAAAGAAGACCAAGAAAGATAACACAATAATTATAACCATTATTGCTGTTAAACTTATCCTTACATAAAATAGAGCTATTAAATTAAATATAATGGCTAGAAACAGAGACGCCTTTGCTCCTATTTTCGAACTATTACTTTTAACATTTTTATAAGTTATTGTAAATATTCTGGCGTCCGGTGGAGTTTGCCTTTTATGAACATTTAGTACGAGTTTTATCCCGTTTACATTCTCATATTCTAATGATGTAGTGGGTTTTTGATTTGCCATTTTTAAGACTATAATTATTATGAAGCTGTTATTCTAGTTTCCATTTATTTAGTAAACAATATCTATTTCACTCATTGTGTTTATTATTATAACCAAGAACCAAGTTACCCAAGAATATTGATTTATTTATTTAAATTAGGCACTTTCTCTTTTGTTTCTATTCAGTTAGAAAGAAATGCGACTGATGTGTATGCTAATAAAACGTACTACTATGAAGCTGGAACGCAAAATAGAAAATCGGAATGTCACTATGACATCGTGTGTCAAATTTTTCTCACGTAGACTGTAGACAGCAGACTGACTTTTTGTGACATATGCATCAGCTGATCAGCTGACATTTGGTTGCGTTCGATACCTAACTTAATCAACTTAAAATTATTGTGATTTCATATTTATAATTTTCATCTCAAAACACGATCAATTTTTATTATTAAAACTCTTGGCCCTTCTTAAATGTTTTGCAAGAAACAAAATGTTGTCCCTACTCTGCATAGCACCAGTCTGGAACAAGTTAATAGTTTTCTTAGATATTACCCCCTCACGTCATAAAACATCTTGTAAACGTAGCAGATTTCCAATGTTAGATGCAGAAATGATTAAAAACAAGCACACTGAGAAACCGAATAATCATTGCAAACACGCTTAGCTTAATGAACATTAATCACCTTCTTTTTCAGTGACCTTGATTAATCACTAGTTGGTACACTATTGCTGACCATGAGACCTTGAACAACTCATGTTCATGTGTTGTTTTGTTACTAACAATAGCCAGCCAGAACTACAGAAAAGAGTACTTTCTGTAACCATAACAACAGGTAGTACAAATAAACGTCATAAGTGTTGAATAGGAGTTGATTATAATTAATTAAATACATTTCCATTAAATTAGTAGAACTTATTATTATATTAGAGATACAGACTATAAGCAAAATGGAAAATTCAGACGGTAACGCATGGGTGTTTGATTCCCTTGTAGGATTTCTACACGGTCCCGTGTGGAATGTACCTCTGCAGACTTTTATTGAAGAAAAGTCTTTACGTAAGTATGTCGAAGTTGGTTTCTTAGCAACTTTGCGTTTATACTGGCATTAGTAACTTAGATCATCGGTTGGAATATGCGAACCTACATAAATATTATATATACCAAGTATACCTATAGATACCTCCATCAACTTAGCTGATTACACATAGGTCTGTTCTTTATCAGTAAACTGATATTGATGTTTTACTTTCAGCTTTTGAGCCGACTGACAATGGCGAAGTCCTCGATAGACCAGAGTATAAGAAGATACATGCTGAGTACCGTAATTTGGTAAGTACCTATACTAGTTATTGACCGACCTACCTACATACCTACTTCGCAATTTACAGTAGACACCTAAAAGAGACCCACGTATGTATTACTTATTAACCTGAATTATTAGTAGTAGATTTAAAGACGCTAATGCCTAGATTTTAACTTTTAATAAAATTGAGTAATTACAAGATAATAACACAACTAAGTATTTACACTAGTTTGAGCAGCCTTCTTCAATTAGGTGGCCTCGAAACTGTTAGCAATTCTTGAGCATTTTTTGAGCCCAGGTGGACGTGATGTTAGGCTCTTTCATGGATGATATCGGCATCACGGCGGATCAATTCGAAGCAGCATGCAAACTGTCAGCGCGAGACCTAGCCGGGCTACCGGCACATTTCCATCGTCGCCTGTTTGAACAAATATGGGCCGCTAACGACTACGAAATGTTCGTCAAGATGATGACTCACAAGAACGTGGAATTGCAGCTACAGGCAAGTTGGTGAACCAAGAACAATCAGTACTTTATAAATTCCGTGAAGTTATACGAAATTCAGTAAATGGAAACAAATAAAACTTGGACTATTAACCACCTCCATTTTATCTTTTCAGGCTCTAGAATTAATAGAAAGGAGATATGGAGCTATGCCCCATTTGTTTTCTGTCGAACCAGATGACTCATTGTTAGACTCATCAAGAAGTGATGAAAGTGAGGACTGGCCGGATAATGATGATGTCATGACTGAAATAAAAAAGTAAGTTCATGAACTGCCTACTCCACGTGAGAAATATCCAAGGCTACCCTATTCTTTCAATTTAAATCTGTTTTTTCAGACTACAATTGGAAGATTTCGAAGGTAAAGACGAGGTCGTCAGCGTCCCGCCCGAGGAAGTGGTAGCTGAGAAGCAAACTCTGTTATCTAAACTTCACAGCTTCGAAAAAAAGGAAGAAAATGTTGAGAAAAAAGTTCATATAGTGGTCCCAGAAAAAAAGATTCAGGTTATGGAACCACCGAAATCACCTCCCAAAAAAGTAGAGGTGAGTACCTTGGAGTAACAATTACGTGTTTAGGTTTACTATTAAGCAGTAGCCGTTTCTAATACCTACTTACAAGGCATAGAACAGATAAGTTAATCATGATACTAACTTACCACTTTATCCGGTTGCCAGGTGAGCGAGGAAGAGATGAGAGCTCGTCAAGAATATTTGAAGCAACAGCGCGATAAGTTATTGGCATTAAAAAAGCAAGTCCGTGAGCGACGACTCGGGGCAGCAGATGGCGCAGAAACAGGAGGTAGGTACTTACTAGCCATTATCGATTTTAAAATAACAGTTCAATGTCAGTCATTGAAAGACTTGCTTATAATTTTATTGGACTAATAGGTGGTGAAGGATCTCATAGCAGCGTTGCTAGACCTCGGTCGGCTCGCGTGGCTCAAGCAGCACTAGCAGGTGTAGCTCCACCGCCGCCTCCAGACGCCATGCAGCTGCGAAGGGCACTCGCCTCTAAGTTAAAGACTGAGGTGGTCGATATTTCTAATTAATTTTATTTCACTTTAGTCCTCAATTTGTTCAAAAATCTCTCTAGGCTTATATTTATTCATGAATTAAAATTAAAAAATATTTAGTCCCGAATTGAATTTTTATTAATGTTTTCTTAATAAATTATGGAAGTATGAAAGAAACAACATGAATCGTAATTATTACCTTATATTTATATTGCTTACTTAACTAGTGACATCATAATAATAGCATTATCGTAAGCTTATTTATTTTACACAACTTGCCGATAGGTAAATCTATTTTAATCTGTGTATAAATTAATTTATGATGGTCATCCACCTAGACAGATAAAAAATAGTCATCATTACAGTCTACTTTCACCTAGAACTTCGTATTTTAATTAACGGGGAAGTTATTTCAAGGAATATAAGAATCGTATAAATCTAATTGACAGCTCGATGCTTTTAGCCTATTATACACGTGGATGTTGGCAGATTTGAAAATAAAATTATTACATAAAACGCTGTATTTACAATATATTCTGACAAGTTCATTCCACGTATGTAATAATTGAATTCGCCTCGCGTTCACTGTGCATTCGTCTATAAAAGCGGGAATATTTTTGCACTGATACAAGTGTGACCATCATATAGTTACAATAGTGGCGGTTGCGGATTTCTTTGATAAGATGTAAAAATCTTATGGCAGAGATCAATAATTTCTTTTTCAGATACATATTAAAATTGATATGTATTTAGAGATGTTATACAAGGTAGGCAATGAAATTAATAAGAGGAAACTTAGGAAACCATAGCCAAAAAATAATTTAGAGAAATAAAAATTGTAGTTTTATTTTGTGCTCAGTTCAATTAACCGTCATAACGTTATTGTACCGTAGACACTGAGCTGTAAGGTAAACGCACAGTGGCTGCGGTACGGTGGAGGTGGAGCGGGCCAGAGACCGGCCACGAGCTATACCTCGCACTGGGACACACACCCTACCGTCCTTTGCAACATTAGTCACATAATCATGCCGCCAGTACTTTATAATCGAGAGACAATACAGCTAGTTATATAAATTATATTATGAACAATGTCTATGACAACTGTTGCATACATTTTATATTAAAATACACTCCACGAGCATTCAATTTAACTAAAAAATATTAAATGTATTATCAAGCTATGCTTTTAAAATAATATTCAATATGTTTTGATAATATGGCTCCGTCGCATCTTGTGTCACACTAAATCAGAAATATTAACATTTCTGAAATATCTTAAGTTATACTTGCAACTACAAAAACTAGATCTTAAGAAAGTATCTATAGTTAGAATATTTCTGATACATATGGAAGAGCATTCTGTAAATGCAAAATGACATAAATGCGTAATGAAATAAAACCCTTGACCAGATATAAAATTTGAGCACTGCTACATTATGTACGAGGTTACTGGAAGCCGGGAGACTGGAGACGAGACTACAACTGAGATCAGTACTGGTTATTGTTTCTGTTAAATTATGTTTGGACCACTCCATCTAAATCGTTTCTGGCGACATCTGATTATGCAAAATATTTAATTTATTATAAGATAGATGTTTATAATCACCAGATTTAAGTGTATTTTACAAAATCTAATATTATTTACAAAATACGAATGATAAAACTAGAGGTTTATAGTAATAAAATAAAATGGATCTTAATCAGATAATTTTATCACATACACATTACTTCCGCAGTGTAAAAAAGCTACAAACAATCGTATATAAGCGAAGATAGGAAACATTTTGTTGAAAGTAAAGAAAGATTTAATACTGATTTTATAATTCATTTTCATTGTGGGGTATACAGACAGTGGGCGGCCGGTAGGATCCATTTCATGGCATTACACTAACAATTATATTATAACCTTATACTACGACAAAGTGTCAGAAAATAATAAGTATTTTTGAAAATCCAATACATTAATAAATAAAAACATTACATTATATTTTTCGTGCATTTATTCGTCGCGATGAAATGAATCCGACACCGGGTGGCCCAGACTCAGAGATTTATAGAAAATTATATAACTATAACATAGGAAGTTAACTGTCGTAAACAATTGATGTTCTACACATATTGTTATAGGTTCAACACGTTGGTTGCGGGAGGTATCGTTTGCGCCACACAAACGGTTGCACGTCGTCAATGTATTCATTTAGCATCACTAGACGGAGAATTTTTCGTCCAGTAACATTACAAATAAATACACAACCCACTGCAACAAACGCGTTAATTATAAAAGTTTGCATACCGAATCAAAACGACATGAAAATCTGGATTCCAAAAGTTGACAAGAAATAATGTAATTATACTATTTGAACAATTTTATTGTTTGACTTTATTTCAAAGTAAGAAGCAAAAAGCAGGCAAAATCACTGTGAAAAAATTTATTATTTTCTTAGCTGCCAGCGCGCAACAAAGCTATATTAATTAGAAAGGGACTGTGTAGATAGGTTAAAAGTTACTCGCGTGTTGTATAAATTTACTAAAATCGTATACTTACTGACAAACCGTGTTTACGGCTGTCTGAACAGCATTTCAGCCTTTATTTCAACCGTATCTACACAGTGCTTTACAGTTTCAGGATCCAGATAAACATGTAAATATGTTGACTGCCATATCTCTAATTTACTACTAGGTTCATTGCTGAAATGTTCACTGATCAATGCAACTGGTATAATTTGTCAAACAGGAATAAAACCAACACCGATTAGATAATTACCAAGACTTTTAAATCACCTAATTTTGATTTAGAATTCAAGATAATTTATTTTAGCCACAGCAATTTAGTACAATATCTTATAAGTCAATTTTACTTCTGGGCCATACAACATTTTGGTAAGAAGTTCTGTGTTACCCCACCTCAAAAATATACTTCGTTCCACGTACATTCCTGTTGAGTATTGCTGTTTAATTTCAGTGGACCACACATAGATAACACACAACTTAGGCAACAAGGTCGTATGTCCATGGAACTTGTTTACGCTTCGTAAGTAACTAACCAATTTGCATACAAATAATTTATTTAGATTTAAATATTGATAACAAATAACCAGGCAGTCAACATGTACCTCATTTCCAATTCTTATAATAATAGTTTCAATTTAGTCTAATTTTCGCTAATTTTAATTATGGAACATAAAAACAATCTAGTCACACTTTGGGTATTCAGTTCAAATAAAATATCTCACCTTTGATAATTAATAACATTTTAACTACTTCGAGAGTGCCATGAGTGCTACGGTAAGCGGCACATAGAACATTATATAAATAGGAAGTGCTACTTAACAGTAGTTAGAATGTTAGTATAATTCATAAACATTGCGTTAAACAATAAACCATAAACTATTCTCTACTCTCAACAAAGTCGGAGCCTTAGGAGATTTGTAATAAAATCAAATATGATCTCTATCGCAAATATACTACATGCTTAAAACAACGCCCGTGTAATGATTACTGCAAAAATAATAAACGGAAAAGTACAAATTGTAATCTCTCCACGAAGCTCAACAGAAGGAATGCAAAATATTGAGAATAATCGTATATATCTGATGTTACGAATATTATGTTCACGGCTGACTTGTCTGGGCGGTGGCAGACAGAGTATGACGACGTCCTGGCAACAGATTATTAGATCCGATCCGTTATGATACAATAGCGCACTACTGAGTAACAATTCCACAGCACAGATTATGATTTTAAATGTCTCTAAAAAAAGATTGGTCGTGTGATCCTTCGTAAACTAAGATTTTTATAAATACGTACATTTTTACATTTTCATACCGCGTTCAGGGTGTTTATTCTTTTTCTATTATTATTTATTATTAGACGTTTAATTCCCACTCATATTTTCTTTGTACTTTTTGTGATTACAATCCTTGACAAAAGTAACCTAATCGTTAAAATTAGTTCACATTAAATACACCTTGTAACCAATATTTGTTCTACTTTCTGATGCCATCTGAAGTATATTATTACACTACGAAGTATGAAGAACTTCATACACTAACTAACTAAAGTCGAACACTCAAGTGTCAGCACTTCATATTTACAAATAATGGACATAACCCAGCAGCTGGAAGTACAGAACTGTCTAGCGGTTCACTAACGAGAGCACGCATACGACCGATCGTGTCGAATGTAAATGCAATCGGCTGGACGTCGCGACAGGGCGAGGAGTCGGGGATACGGGGAGGTGGAAGTGTAGGATGGCAGTGACGGTGAAACCTTACGCTACAATCACAATAACGCATCCCGAGCCCGAGTATCCGGTCGCTCGCGCCCGCCGCTAGCACTGCGCCAGCCAGTGACCGCGGACAGCTCGAGTACGCCGCGCAGTGAGGGGGACCTTACTATGTCGTGTGGTACCACGAGCCGCCCTGCAGGCCGGGGGCTCACTACGCCAGACGCGGCCGCTTGGCGTCGCGCTCCTCGCTGGCGCCGCCGCCCGCGCCGCCGCCCTCCTCCTCCTCGTCCGAGTCGCCGTCGTAGTCCACCAAGCCCTGCACAGTCACACTCTTATACTGAAACAATCTCATCTGCATAACACTAAACAAGCTCAGGAGTTTGCCAAAGCAAGATTTAATGAATTTTGAGGGATTGAATTCAAATCTAAATGGTTGCGTGTTCAGCAATACACTAAATTAAAGCAAATTCAGATGAACATTATGACCTATGAACACATAATATTATTCACTTTATCTATAAGTAATACGAAACTTTGCAGTCCCCTTAACCTTTTGAACATTATTACATGACTGTATGAAAATAAAAATAAATTGATTAAATAATTTTAGGGAAAATGAAATACGTGAATTATCTCTGCAACTAAAAGAAACAAAGGATTTGGAAAACAAAAATCACTACACACAGATACAACTAGTGAATAAATGCACTGCCTATTATTATATTATTGATACCCACCCAGTGCATTATTGAATACTCTAAACACTAACAAAAACTTTTTCATTATTTACTGTGTAATCATTACAACTCTATTAAATATCTCGTATTTTCTTTCTAAATAAAACTAATCGGCATTGAATTCCAACAGAAACCGTAAATAAAACAAAAACACATGCAGTG